AAATTCACAAGAAAAGTACCTATGCATAACATAGTATAAGCGCAATATCTCAACATAAAATGAATACATGATAGATTACATAGCAGCCACGACGTTAGGTGCTGCACGAACCTCCTCCACTGTCAGCTGAAATGCTCTCCCTCGAGCCTTTGGCGCCTCGGCTCTCTCCGGCCGACTCTCACTAGCTCTTGCAACAGTAGGGGCAGATCCCTGAGGTGCTCTCCGCATCGTCCCTCACAACTACAGGCATTCCGCCTTCTGGTTCACGGTTTGGTTATGGTGAAAACAGACCATGAATCCCTTGGGGCAATCCTTGGCGATATGCCCCTCCTTTCCACACTTTTAGCAAGCACCAACCCTACAAACTCCGTCATGACCCTTGCAGCACTTTCTGTAAGTGCGGCCCTTCTGACCCCCAGTCCTCGAATCGGTGGGCTTGGCCCGCTTGGCTGCCGGTTGAGACTGTACCAGCCGCTGATCCATCCTCTGAGACTCCGCCTCCTCCTTGGCCTGCGTCTCCAATTTGATCTCCCTCTTCCGGGCATTTGCCTGAAGCTCAGCAAATGTCGGGTATGATGACTTTGACACAAAGTCACGAATGTCTCTCCTAAAAATGCTCAGATATCGACTCATACGTTCCTGCTCACTCGACACGTGCTCAGGGCAGAACATCACCCTCTCGTGAAACCTCCGTGTAATCCCTGTAACCGACTCAGTACCCCGCCTAAGGGTTAGAAACTGCTGTGCCAATCAATCCCTCTCCACCTGGGGAAAGTACTCATCTAGGAACATAGCACTGAACCTCTCCCAGGTTACTGCAACAAGCTCAGCAGGGGTGTAGTGTGCCGTCACAAACTTCCACCAGTCCTTCGCTCCCAAGCGAAGCTGGTTCAGCGCGAAGCACCCCTCTATGTCAAAAACCCCTCTATGTCAAAAACCCACCTCATCGCGACTATCGTATCCTGAGTTCCGTCAAATTCTGGTGGCTTCGTGTTGCTAAACTCCCGATACAACAACGAGTCACCCCCTTGCGGCCTGGGAGCAGCAACGGCCGAAGTGGCTGCAGCAACAACAACATCAGAAAGAGCAGCATACTGCTCATCAAAAGTCTCAATCAAAGTGGTCTTAATAGACCCGAACATCTTTGGAATATCATCCCTGATGGCCACAACCACCTCCTCGTGGATGATCCTACGGATCTCCTCATCACTCGTCCCGTTGACCTCTGGTGTGTGTCGCGTCCCAACCATGATCTCCCTCTAAAATACAACATAAGAATATTAGGGACCCACTCGAGTATAATCACACTTGATAACTCCACCCCACAGGTTCCTTAGCGCCCTAAGGATTCTTACATGGACTGCGCACCGACCCGGTATCTTCAGTAGTACATGCCCAATACTACTGTCCATACGGCATCAGCATTCATCCCAAGTCCTCCTCCTTGAGCCCCAAATCCCAAGTGCTCTACTCTTACCATCATGTGCTACTCGCTAGCAATTCTCTCATGAGCACCTCGCTGCTACCTAAACACTCTTAAGACCTTCTAGCAGCAAAACCCCTAGACTAAGGCATCATATATCAGGCCATTCTAGTCCTAATTAGAATACCTAGTCTACTCTAGCATGCATATTGTAATTCATCATATAGTGAAACATAGCATGTCTAATAACACTTATTATGAGAGTATTTTGGGAAATCACCATTCTGGCGCTGGCTGATCGTACACACGGCTCTGCTCCGTTAGTCTCAAAACCCTTTTTCTCTTTTTAAAAAAATTTACTTTATTATTAAAAATTTCCTCAAATCAACAATTTAAGTTCAGATGTCCACTAACTCTCTGTCTCGCTTGGTACGTCGAGTCGTACACTATGCTCGATGAGTCACTCTTGACATGAATCGCGGGGCTACCCCGACTCAACTCACCGAGTCTCAAGAACAACTCGGCGAGTACCGCCTTGAACTCCAGTCTTTTAACCGCCTTCTGACTCACTGAGTTATCCCCCAACTCGGAAAGTCTACTCACTGAGTGATCTGCGTGGACCTTAACCCTACTCACCGAGTCTCAAGAACAACTCGGTGAGTTCATGCCATGCACATATTCTATTGACTTACTATGGTTAGATCTGTGCCCCTAATCCATAGATCTGGCCTTCCCAAGCATAAATTACACGTAAAGTCTGAATCATGATGCTTCTAACTCAACCAATATGCAAAAATGGTGATTTTTTCCCAAATACCTTAACCCAAGGTCATCACCTCCATTGTTCTTCATAAAGCTTGAAAAATAATGCTCTTTAGACCTCTATGGGTACAGGTACAAAGCCTCATCTCCAGATGGGACTATTTGGACCACAAATCAACTTAGTCAAGGGTACAAGAAACCCTAAAACCATATATCCTTCCCAAAACAGAAGAAGAGTTGAAATAATACATAAAATGAATGATCTTAGCTTTTAGTCCTTAGAATAGCAACCTCCTTTGCTTTCCCTTGGCTAGAACCTCCTTCTTCTTAGTAAATGACACCACAAAGATCAACATGGTCACTCCTTGCCTCTCAAACGACCTGAACTCTCTCTGGGGGGGGGTAGTAGCCGCAATGGATGGTCATAAGGGCCTTTAAATAGGTCCCAAGCCCACGGAATTAGGGTTTCACCAAACAACGTGGACTCACCGAGTCCACGAATGGACTCGCCGAATTCTGACATGAACTAGAATGGACATCCACGTCCCTACTCGGCGAGCCTTGGCGTCAACTCGCCGAGTTCCTCCTCAAACTCCAAAAATTAAATGAATAAATAATATACCTGGGAATTCGGATGTTACAGTATAATGAGCAGAAGTGTATCTCGCAACATCACACACTGGGAATAAAAATATTGTATTGCTGCCCTTCTTATTCATACGAACAAACACAATTCCAAGAGGTTTTAGAAAAATCTCCACATCTTTATAGTCTTTCAAATTGACTTGGTTCTATGTCATTGATTTGGGAATTGAAATCTGATTTCCTAACGTTTTAGCTAAGTCAACATCAGTTAAAGCTAAAGCACCCTAATATCCATCAATGAAAATCTTCATATATGCGAACCCCAGTAAAAAAATCTTCTTTATTGGTAACCTACAACTTCAACCCACAACAGACTTCAAGATCTTTGCCACAGCCAATAAATCATGAAGGTTCATCAAGGGAAAGTTTGCAACTCAGAATTGAAAGTGACATTGTTGGCTCGGACTGCATAATATCGATAATTCTACAACAGACCCTTGAACAAAACATCTTTGGATATACCGAGAACCCGAACTATATTGACTAAGGACCAGATTTCCTCTTCCCTTATTCCAAGTATAGCATGAAACCTATACTTCATCTGTTTGAACGAAAGTTTATCCTTGAACTTAACAACAATCCAAAATTGCTCATCCATAAATGTCATATGATTGATAGGAAAATCCAACTGATTAAAGTTGGTGTTCTCTGTATCATAGCGTTTCTTCAGATGCTTCTCAAAGTCACTCATATGTCATGTAACAACTGAACGTTCGTTATACTCATAAGTATAATGTTTCGAAGGATCTCCTTTGTTTAGAGCAGGAGGCTCATTGGCACTTAGTCGAAGAATACTTTAAATTTGACGTTGCTTCTCGATTCCTTGTTCCATGGTTGCTTTCTTTTCTTCTTTGGGTAAATGTGTAGAACTACCCTTCCCTTTATTCAACAATTCTTTAGTAGAAGGAGGTGGTTTTAATGAACTTGAAACTCCCTTAGCCGACCCAATAACAACTCCTTTAGATATTGGTTTCGATGTAGTTGTTGTAGATGATACAATTATAGACACCTTGGGAAAAGAAGATGTATTTGAGTAGACAAGACCTTCTTAACAACCTTCACATCGTCTTCTCTTTTATTCGATGTGCTTCCCCTAACTCTCGAAGCAATTCCAAGGCCACCCTTTTCTCCCCCTTGCACCCCTATGGAAACAGGTGGGGCATCAGTTGGCATCATTTGTATGAGTTTGGTGAGTGGTGCAAGATCCTATTGAATTATGGACTCCAACAACTTAAAATTTTCTGAAAGAAATACTGGAGTTATTAACAAATAGGAAACAAAGTTGGACTTCAATATCAGGCCTTTGAATTCAACTAGTAGATTATCGATCTTGAAAAAAATTGTGTCAGTTTCATCAACGTTTGTGAAAACCTTCAAAAGTAGAGACTCATAAATAGTCACATACTTAGTTACAATGTTTGCAATTATATCCACCTTATTGTGAAAAGATGAGTAATTGGTCCTAATCTTGTAACTTCTGTTGCCATGTCTTCATGAAGTTCTTCGATTTTTCGGTTCACATCTTCACGAACCTTCTTCACATCTTGAATGAACAAAATATGCCTTTTCTGTGCAATATCATTCTAATTTGTAAGTGCTCCATTGAATATTTCTGAATCATCTTATATTTATAACTTACTGCACTTGTCTATTTGATCATGTTTATCTTGAAGAGGATGCTCTTGAGCTTTTAGCATCACATCCACTTCTAAGCTACAAACTTAATGTTTTCCCCTTGTATTAGCTTGTAATTAAAGCAATGAATTGAGTTTTTTGTTTATAATTTTGAACTATTTCCTAGTCATCAACTCAATGTCAGGAATATCTTCTTCTCCTAGATCAAACTCATTCTCAGCAAAAGTATCCTCAAACTCATTATCCTCTGTTTTATCATCTTCTTGGATAGTTTTGTACTCAATAGATTGAGATGAAAACAAAGAGGTAATGGGTTGATTTATGATGTTTTTTAAAGTGGGTGAATGCGTTGAAGTAGACACGGTTGAGTGAAATGGTGGTAGAGAAGTGGTAGTATCAATGGTAGAAGTTTCGAATAATGATGAAATAATAAGATTTGAAGTACCTTGATTTTGATTGATTTGGGCTTCGTTATTCGATCCTCCATCACCCATGCAGACATTTGTGTCCATATCAGATATGTTCACATGGATGCCTAAAGTTCGAAGATATCTTCAGGTGGTATGACTATTCTCTGCTCAGGAGTAGATATCTTCGTAGAATCACCTTGATCAGTTGTTTTGTCCACATTAGATTCTTTCACAGAGCCACCAGAATTTCCAATTTCCTCGAAATTTGACTTGATTGGATAATTCCTCATTGGTGATGGAATACCCATTGTATCATCTCGAATTGGAGTTTCAATAACAACTTCATCATCCAATGATTCTTGACTGATGATTAACTTTCGCTTCTTATTTTGTTTCTTTGAAATGTGTTTGTGTATGTCCTCTGCATGCCTTTTCTTTGAAGCTAGAGAAGCCGGTAATGAAACTTCACGAAAATAACCCCCTTTCGACTCACCCGAGGCTTGATATGAAAACATGGTGAAAAAGTTTTCGATCTTTCAGGAGAATTGTGTGGGTTTTAAGCCAATTTTATCATCCTTTTTAACACATCAGATTGTGTAGGGATCATTTCCTTCAAAGGTGTTTCCATTTCGGTAACAACAGGCTTTGAAGCCTTCTTTGAAGATTTTTCTCCTTGAACAACTTTCTTTGAAGATGTTTTTCCAACTTTCTTAGTATTATCCTTAACATCCTTCTTCGAACCTCTGTGTTTCATCAAAGGACCCTCATGAGATTGTGGTAATAAGAATCCAGTCTGAATGGAAGGATTGATAGTCTGCAAATATGCTATCAAAATGGAATTGGTTGGATCAACTTTGCTCAACATTCCGTATAGGATTCGAGCAACCGTCGGAAACACATCAGGATTATCTTCAACAGTCTTTGGACAATAATACATAAAAAATTCAGCAGTTTCTTTATCGTCAGAAATTAAAATCCATTCCTTCTCATAAACAAATTGCAAGATTAAACTCTAGTATCTCGCACAAGAAATACCATCGACTAATGACATATCATAGTAGATACCTGCCACCATAGCATGCACCTCCAAACGAGCTTTATCCAACCCCACTGTTCTTCCCATCAAACAACAAAGCTATATCCCAAATAAAAAATTGCAGATACCAGGTAATCCATAGATTTCGTAAGAGGAGGTTGATACCCATCTCATTAAACAAATGAAGAACTTGAGCATTTGTTACCTTGCAGAAAGGTTCAACATTAGGGATATTAAGAATTTGGGCAAAACGCTTCTTTGACAATCGAAACTTGTTATCATTCATTAGTTGAAAAGTCAGAATCTTCATCATCTTGCTATAAGTGGCCATTGAACTAGCAAGAGATAAACAGGACAAAGGAACATAGAAGGATTTAAATATAGTAGTTGATAATATCGAATGTTGAAGAGAAATAATAAACAATTGTAACTCCTCTCGGTCAACTGTAACATTGATTTGAACTTGATAATTGGTGCTTTGAATCTTCATGATGGGTTGAGAAGAGAAATCTTTAGTCGTATGAGAGTCAACATGCTTGGTCTCCATGGTTAGGGTTTTGAAATCTTGAAGAAAATCTGATAGAAAATAGCACAAATCATTTGAGAATGATATGTGAGTGTAAAATTGGAATGAAATCCCTAGTTCCCTTTTTATACGTGCTCCCAATTTGAATTTGAAACGCTTTGTATCATTAAATGTATCCGACATGACACCTTGAAATACGGACCAGTAGTTGTAAATATAGCCACCCGTGAAAAAGTGATATGCATATTTTCCTTGACAACCGCACAGAAGATAAAAGATCTCAACAAACATAATTTTTGCTTGCCCCTATAGAATGAGAACCATTAGTAACCTTCGGCATGGAGGGTAGGCTCTTTCACTTTTGTGTTTAAAAGAAAAGTCATTTGCCAGACTTTGTAAATCATAAGCCTGAGTTGGTCTTACTCAAAACTTCAAGGATTTCGTGAGTGCAAAGTGTTCCGAATAATAAGATAAGAAGCACTATAAAATTATTTTGGTTTCAGTGATGTCAAAAATATTTCGACACAAAAGTAGTAAGATCCCAGGAAAAGATCGCTTCATTATTCATAAAGAGAGATGACTAACAGCTTGTGTTGTTTCCCGTGAATTACAATCAAACACTTAGAGAGAAGTATCAAAGGGCTTATTTTAATAAGTTGTGTGGGTGGTTGAAAATTTAGTTACATATCACAACTATGCATAAGTTTGAGAAATTGTAATCAAAATTACTTGTTTGACTAGTGTAGTCGGTGACAAGTATGATTTTGAAAAATTTATCAATTAACAAAGAATCAGATTAATACTCACACGAAAATCATATTCCAGAAAACACAATTATTTTGGATCTCAATGGGTAAAAAGGTTGTGGGTTTCGTATTTCATGAAGACCACACAAAACAAAAAAAATATGATTTGGAGTATCGAAAATAGGTAATGAAACAAATGTTTCATTAAAATCTAGAACAAAGTTGCACATCAATTCCTATAACCTGGTTGGTTTCATGAATCTAAATCATAAACACCGAATGTTTACATACCTATAACCTGGTTGGTTTTGACCAGTGATGTCTTGTGTATGTATCTTTGTGTGTGATTGTGAAAGAACTTTAGGATGTAAAAGAGTGGTTTAAGAATCAAAAGTACCTCAGCTATGATTGGACTAAACATGAAACTCTTAACTCTTGAGAGAAGAGTAAGGTAGCTCAGGAACTAATGTGAATACAACCCGATTGGCTAGGAAACCTCGTAATGAGAAATCCATTAAAGCTTCGAAACACATTGATTTATGGAGGCTCTGGTCGACAACATGCATCTAGGGACATATGAACTAGTACATAGTTTTGGAGATATACCTTTCCACAGCAAGCATGAGCTATCAAAATCTTCGCTAAATGTTACACAAGAGAAAATTAAAAGAACAAACATATTTTTGGATTTTTGATTTTTGAAAGAAAATTACAAAAATAAGAATATCTTTTTGATATTTTTGAATTTTAATGAAAAAAGAACAAAAATGAAAAATCTTTTTATTGTTTTTGATTCTTAATGAAAAATAGCAAACAATAAAAGAAATGTACCTTACTATCGAAAACAAGATAATGACAAAAATAGCGAAGATTTTTGTCAACCTATTGTGCAGAATGTCAAAAACGAAGCATGTCGAAGCGTTGACTGTGAACAGTAACCATTGAATTCGACGTCTTTTGACCATGTTGGGTTATCATTATAACGAAATCCATCTTGGAACTAAATTTGCATCGATCATTCCTAAGCCCATCATGAGTCTTATGAAATATTTTTCTGCTAATGGCTTCGTAAAGATATCTACAAGTTGATAAGTTGTCTTTACAAAATGAACTTCAATGTTGCCATCTTCAACATGATCTTTAATAAAGTGATAGCGAAGAGCAATTTGTTTTATTTTCAAATGATGCACAGGATTGTGACAAATGTGTATGGCACTTTGTGAATCACAACACACCATAATTTTTTTCATGTTGATTACATAATCACGCAGTTGACTTTGAATTCATATGATTTAAGAAGTGCAAGCTGCAACAACAACATATTCTGCCTCTGTCCTGGAAATAGAAACACGTGTCTGTTTCTTCGATTGCCGGATCACAAGCTTCCCATCCAAAAGTTGAATCCGCCACTTGTGTTTTTTTGATCAAGTTGACACCCACCAAGATCAGCATCTGAGAATGCTTGAATGAAAAACCCTGTTTTTGAAGGATACCACAATCCTAATGAAATTGTGCTTTTGAGATAGCGAAATATATTCTTCACAACAGTTAGATGAGGTTCTCTAGGATTCGATTGGTACCTAGCACAATTGCACATATAAAACATAATATCAGGTCTACTAGCCTTGAGATACAGTAATGAACCTATCATGCTTTGATATAATGTGAGATTAACAACTAGTTTGTCCAAAGATGGATTTAGTCTTATTCCAACAACCATTGGTACATGCAACTTTGAACTATTCATCATTACGAACTTCTCAAGCAGATTTCTTGTATATTTATGTTGATTGATGAAAATTCCTTCTCTGTTTTGATGAATATTTAATCCTTGAAAATTTTTTATCTTCCCCCGTCATTCTCATCTCAAACTTACTTTTCATCATATTTTCAAACTCAATAGACAATTAAGGATCAGTAGAACCAAAAATAATATCATCGGCATAAATTTGAACAAGCATGAGATGATTCCCAACTTTCTTTCAAAAGAGAGTGAGATCAACAGATCCTTGTTTAAAATTCAAAACATTTTAAGAAATTAGTAAGAGTGGTATACCAAGCATGTGGAGCTTGTTTAAGACCATAAACAGCTTTGTCTAAAATATAACAATAATTAGGGTATTGTGAATTGATAAAACCTACTGGTTGTTCAACATAAATTATTTCTTCGATAACTCCCATGAGAAAAGCACATTTAACATCTATTTGATATACATAAAAAATGTTTATGTGCTACATACGCTAATATGATTTGAACATCCTCGACTCTCATGATAGGGGCGAAGGTTTCTTCATAATCTCTACATTCTTGTTGCGAATATCCTTTAACAACTAGCCTTGCTTTATTTCTCACTATGTTACCTTTTATCAATTTTTTGTAAAACGAATTGAAGACCAATGATAGAAGTGTCTTTTGGTTTTAGAACAAGTTTCCAAACTTTGTTTTGTTTAAACTCAGCCAGTTCAGATTGGATAGAGACAATCCAATCAGGATCTTCCATAGCAATATTTTTGCTAACTTTGGTTCAATTTTCGAAATAAAGACATGGAACATACAATATTTCTGGTGTGTATTGAGTACCTCATTCTTCACACGAATCAGAGCTCTAGTCAATACTCCATCATGTGGATTACCAAGAGTTTGTTCTCAAGGTTGACTTCGAGTCCATCTATCCATCAGTGGATATGCTGGATCAAAATCCAATGGTGCATCTTCGAACATTTCTTCATTTTCAAATCCTTCACTTGCATTTGACACTTTATCATTCATATCATGAAATTCATCATTTAGAACATTCGAAACATTTGTATTATTTGCATCTTCGTCCCCTTCGATAATTGGATTATTATCATATTGCTCCCTCTCGACATCAACATTAATTCTTTCTCTCCCCCTCGAAAGTATGTTCCCCCTGAACTTGAGCACATATATTCAAGTGCTCCCCCTCAACTTGAACATTCAAGCTATTTGGCATAATTTCATTATTTTTGGAAGAATTTGTTGATGAATATGAATCATTGTTATCTTGAGTGAGATTGGAATAATTATAATGTTTCGATGCTTCAGGCACTCGATTGTCATCATCATGTACTTTTGCATCAATAGCCCGGTCTGGAACACAAAAAATCAAATCATAATCAAAATCTTGATGAGAATTGTTATCAAGATTTAGAATGGAATCATGATTGTACGAATGAAAAGTATGA